CATGAGGGGCGTTGGCCATAATGAATATAAAAAGGGACACAAAAAGTAAGATCAAAGAAAAAGAGTTAATGTACAAAGTAGAAAAGGGAAGAAAAAGAGAGGGAAAAGCTACTGGCTTATCAAGAAATTTCCTGTAGGAGAGGGGTGCCCAGGTGGATTGCACCATCCACATCCAACAGAAGTCGTCAACAAGTGGGGACCGGGTGCAAGTCTTGGCTGGACGATTTCCTCGGGGGACAACATATATTTTATTATGGATCTTAGGGCTATTATTATAGGAAATGAATTCATTCATATGTGGAATACACAAAATATATAATATATGTAGGTTTTTGCAATTGTGTGGTAATAGTATGAGTGTACGTTTAGTTGACGAGTCTACAATATATAATGTTATATATGGATTTTCAGGGGCAAATAGACGATCCCTTTGATTAAGATCATCATATACCTGACTTGTCATTCTGAAGATCAAGTAGTATACAATAGTTAGTTATATATATATATATAACTATGTATGTTGTAGTTCACTTGATAAATCTCCAACTTGGAGTATAACGACCATCCCAAAACGTCTTAGCCCAACGCCACATCTGCAGAGGCTAAGGTCATGTGATGAAGCACGTCACCTCCGCGCGGAATCACGACATTTACCGATACCTAATTTCCCAATTAGGAAATGATCGACATACACGTTGTCCAAATAACTAACATTCAAGACGCTAATAACCCAATATACATAATTAAATTCACCCCAGACCCATATAGACAACCCTATATACACCCCCCCTGGACAATTTTCACTGCGCCTTCACCGTGCTATTGGGAAGCGTAATGGTCAACTTCTCAAAATCGACATCGAACGCTCCCACCTTCAGGGCCGGCTGAGTCGTGTTCGCATAGGAATCGACCAGGTACCCTTGGATATCTTCCCGTGAGGACAGAGCCGTATCAAGCGAGCCTGTCTTCTGCAGAATATACAACACCGCAACCCGAGAAAACCCAACGACGTTCTCGGGAACGCTGGTCGCAGTGGACGTGGACGTGTCTGACTTGGCGGCAGTAGATTGAGCGCCGATCTTAGTAGCAGAGGCGGTCGTTGCTGACTCGGTTTGTGTGGGTGTCGACGTGGTCGTACTTGGCTTGCTTGATTCCGAGTCGTCGTATAGGATTCCGTTCATAGTGGCCATAGAACGGACAGCCAAGGCTGGTGTTGGGTCGGTTGTCGAGGCGGATGGGATCGAGTCGGCTATCGACTGTACGGATCGGCGGGTCTTGCTCGTGTTGTCATTTGTAACTTCGTTGAAAGCTACGAGAGCGTTTTCGGTCTTGCAGGAGATGTCGTTCATGCTGAAGAGAGCCATGATTGTGACGGAGTCGAGGGTGATGTCGAATTTTGCTTTCGTTTCTTCGAACATAGAAGGGAGTGAACTACCCATGGTCGCATTCGATCCGTTACTTATCAGGGCGGTGGTGCAGCTACTATCACCCGCGATATTGCATTTTGAGCCGGTATAACCGTTCGAACAAACACACGAGCATTGGGTACCGGCTGAGACACTCACGCCTCCATTCTCACAAGGGTTCTTTTCAGCACAGGACGAGTTGGCTTTCTCACGAGGCACGGCGACAAGGAACACAGGGAGAAGAATCGCGAGAACGATGATGATGAAGAGTACGATGCAGAGGATCACGAAGATCTTCCGTGGCATTCCGCAGCACGTCTTCTTGCGCCGGGGAGCATGTGGATCGTCATCATTGGAGTTAAGCTGCTCAACATTACGCAAGTTAGAGCGTGCAAAGAAGGGCCATGAGGTGCGTGATGCACCACCTTCGGGTGTCGCCAAACCCGGTGGAGGGAAGGAGGCGAGCATGTCCGATAGAGAGCCGGACTTGCGTGGTCGGTGTCCTACACACACACACAGTAGTTAGTACTATTTCCAAGATTTCACATGATATAGATCCCAAAGACTCACCCATCCCAGCCCTAAACCCTGCCTCATCGCCACCAGCCAGATTATTAGCTTTGCTGGCGGTTCTCCCATGATCCAGATTCGATGCCAGTTTTGTCGCCCTCAGAATCAAATCAGATAGGCTGGAAAGGCTTCCACGAGCCTCTGCATCCCGTACCGCATGCATATTCAAAGCAGGAGGCTTGCGACCCCCAGGTCTCTTGTCACTCATTGTTGGTGCTGCGTGAGGCAGCGCTCCGAAGGCCTCGAGCTCTTTCTCGAGGCGTACATCGGAGGGCAAGTCATAATGCGGGGCAAAAGGTGGCTTTTCCGGGTCCACGCCTTTCACCGATTCACTCGATGCTGTAGTAGACGAGTTTCGTAATTGACTTGGTATACGGGGCACCTGGCTTGCAGCAACTCCCATTCCGATAGGTCGTACTGGTGTATTTTTGGTGAATTCCTCCTGGGTGGGTGATGGCATGCTTACAACGGAAACAGGGTTAGACTTGAGGATGGTACGCATTGTCGGCTTTCCTCGCTTTCCAACACTGGCACTTCGGACAAGGTTTGTATCATCCTCTTGAAGTCCCGGTGAGCGCTGGCCATCGTCTGAATCCATGTCGAGATATGCTCCTAGAATCTCGGATTCAGCGGGACCAGATCCCCAACTTGAAGGAATGGCTCGGCTGGACGCGACGGAGCATTTTGTAAGGCGAGGGTCGGTGAATGCTTCTGGGATGGGGGGAATGGAGGATTGACGAGCCCGGCCAGGCTTTCGCGCATTGAGCGGTGCCACGAGACCTGCCGTCCGGTACCTGGGGTCGTCCGGAGAAAGACCGGACTCGGGCAGCTGAAAACCAGGTGGAAGTTGGGGCATATTAGGAACCGAAGGCGTCGACGAAGTCACAGACTGTCTAAACAAATCCTCTGTTGCAATCGATATTCGAGGAGTCATGTCGATTGTGCTGGTGGTTGTGCTGGTGGGACTAGTAGGGGCATCGTTTACCGGCCCGCGCGACTGCGCTAGCGGAGGCGGCTGAAGTTGTGAGAAGGAACGGGGAGGTCTTTGGCTCGGACTCGCGCTCCTTTCTGAGGTTGGGCCATCCCGTTCTGAGTAAATGGATGGCGAAGGGAGTTCACTCGGATGAAGTGGTCTCTGAGGTGGAGGACCACGGGGAATCAAATACCTAGGATGATGTTGATTGATCGGGTGTGGTGGAAGGCCCGAATCAGGAAGAGGCCATTGTGTTTGATGGGAGAAATTCCTCGGGACTGGAGGATATCCCATCCGCTGGGGTGGCGAGGCTCGTTCTGGACGCACGCCAGCATCCAACATTTGTCTGGCCCGCTTGACGGATCCACTCCTGCCAGGCTCCCCTGAGGGCCCGGAGCTTGGTACTTCTGTGCTCATTGGAAGGTTGTCTGGTCGAAAGAAGTATGGCTAAATCGAATGCCGGGGTGGATGCTCTTGTACAGTTTGCGAGAAGTTAGGGCTCGCAAGATATCCAGTGTGGCGTGGTAGTACTGCGGGTTCAAAAGAGAAGATTTGTATCTCGAATATTGAGGGATGGAAATGAATGAATGCTCGATACCTTGATCGAATCGAAAAAAGAATGAAATGATTGAAACCAGAGAAATGGTGTTTGGTCCCACTGAGCAAGTGTCTACAAGATTGTAGAAAGTGGATAAAGCAATGAACACGATCTAGAAAAGCAAGATCCACAGGATCAGATCGTAAATGAATGGAAGGGCATACAATGCCACTAGATATAATAGTCAGGATCAGCTCTAAATGAACATGGAATTGTCTTTAGAGAGAGAGAGGCTTACCGTTCAAAAAGGGGAGAAAATGAGAGGAACCGCTAGTATCAAACTGGCGTACAAGGCTAATTGGGTTAACCCCCAATCTTTGATCTGGGTACTTTGTAGACTTACACATTCAAAAAAGGGAGAGCATCAAGCTCTTTGAAAGTTGGGAAAAAGGAGAGAGAGAGCAAAAAAAAAAGGTATTGAATTGAACCTGGCAGTTTCCCCCCAGGACTAACGCGGTTCCTCACATATGGATACTAGTCCACTTCTCAAACGGGAAGTATATTAATGCTAAACATCAACCCTCGACTATATTTATTTCTTGCAATTCCTTTAGTCCTGTAATCTCAGTCCTTTATATCTGAAGTCTCCGTCTTCAAACCCCATTGTGATGAGTACCAGGTCTACTCCGTACCTATACTGACCTGTCAATAGCTTTCCAACATTGTACCTTAATTTAAAAAAATAAACAGAAGGGAAAAAAAGGACAAGAAGAAAAGAAAAAAAAAGAAACTGAAAGGTCGGGGCCAACATGAGACTCGGCCAAATTCCTCCGTAGACGAATCATATGGTTGTCTGTCGATTCTATCAGTGGGGTTGGACTTAGTTCCGGACGCTAACGTCTCACATTAAGGCTCCTTTTTAGTAATTTGAAACTTGAGATGGTTGGAACAGACTGAAATTCATACATTTTACTTAGTTAACTAGTTATAGTTGGTTATACTGTATGTTGAACGGAGTACGTACTTGAAGTTTACTGGATCTAACTATCGATGGCTATATAGTACTGGAGTCCCCGAATACTCCGTACGGAGAGGACGGAGTATAGACTGATAGACTGGGATTTGCACTGAAACATCTTTAAACCTACTTGGTACTAGCCATAATATATCACTGCCCCCTTTGAATCTCCATGTGTACAATTATAGCAATTCCCCGCTCTTGGTTTTTATACACATCCACACAGTACGGAGTACGGAGCACGGCGTAACTAAACATGAACGGTTCGTGGATCATGTGGAAAATATATATTAACTAACTATGTAGTTATAGATTGTTCTCCAAGTCCAATCTCTAGATCCGAGGCATTTGCGGCTCTCAATTCTAAACACATCCGGTCACCTAAGGTGATCTCCTTGGGATATCAGGAATAAAATGCTCTGTGCGACATGTCAACGTCAACTTGACCTTGCCACGGCTGATTAACCACGTAATGTTGGACAAGGTCACGGATGACTACAACACAGTTGCATCGGAGGATTCAATTTCCAATCGAGCTCGTAATTGGTTTATCTGCTGTTCCACAGCTTGCATCTCAACTGTTGTACTGGCCAAATCCGGTACCTGATTATCTATCGCATTTGTGAAAGAGTCTTGTGCCCTGCGTAGCGATTGGGGAACCAATATTCCATACCAATGAATTGGATCGGCAGAACGGAACTTCTTAGAGACGGGCTTGGGGTTTTGGACAGGGGTAGTCTCCGTTTCTGCATGGTCTGATGTTTCCGAGCTAGCCGCCTCGGCCGGGCGAGTTTCCTCGGCCTCAAGATGTTCACCTAGGACCGGAGAAGTGGCCTTGGTTTCGTTGTTCCCATCCTCTGGTGGATGACTAGGTGTGGTCTTCTTGACGGAGAATGTGTATTCAGAATCAGGTAGCGCAGTGATATCCGCTTCATCTTGAGGATCGTTCGTGGATTGCTCCGTGTTTCGTTTGGATTGGATTGATCTGTCAATTTCGGCCGGTTAACAAGCGTCAGTAATCAATGACAGCGGGTGAAGTTACATCTTCCTCGTCGCTTTCATGCGCCCATCATAATAATCCGGACCATAACGACGACCAGGACTGGAGAAATTGGCCTGGGCGAGAGCAAAAACCCCTACGTTGTCTCAGCATATTTCATGAACCGTGATTAACAAAGTCATACCGATGACAGCTGCTCTGCCAGGCTTGAATGTAATTTCTGCTGCCGATCAAGCAGGTGCAAGTATTTCTCAAGAAGTGTATCCAAACATTGGACCGAATCCTCCAAAGCCACTGGCTTCACCTTCACTTCAGGTGCCTCTGAGCCCGGTCGCGACACTGGTGGCGTGGGTATTTGAGACATGGAAAAAAAAAGAAAGATCCAAGGTCAATGAAGCAGAAATGCAATACAAATATCTGCAAAATTGGAGTTGTTGAACTTGTGCAATAAAATCCACCGAACTTGAGATACAGAAGAAACAGAAGAAACGTGGAGCAAAGGAGCTCGGCCCCGGTAACTCCGTCATTCGTCTCCGAACGCAAAAGAATTTCCCACTTCTGCGCTTCTTCTCATTTCCTACATACTTCAACCCACTGTGTCTCTTTTCTTGTAAGAGACTGTATTACGAGAGATCAAAATCATCGATTCACCTGTGACTTAATTTCCCCGGATCTTTGGTTCTTGCAAGATTGAACCGACATCTCCGATTGCGTCTTTGATACGAGTCATTGCGCCCAACGTATGTGAACTACATTTTGGTATCTCGACCATTAGAATAAGAGCCATCTCTCTAACACAGCGACTTTTAGGACATACTTTTGCCGCAGCAGCTCCGTGTCGACCGCGCAACCAAGGCTTTAGTGATAACCTGGGGTTGACCAAAGCAAACATCCCGCACTCTTCGTCATCGGCTTTTCGACTCTGATTACCCTCTGAATCCTCCCCATACTATTACCATAACCTCAGCCATTATGTCTGTCGCGCCCTTGCCTCGTCAGACTGCCTTCCAGGCACGATCTTTGGTATGTCCTCTTGGCTCTATATGCGTTTCGACCTCGTGCCTTCATCCTCAATACATAAAACTAACCGGAGTTTTTCTCCTTTCCTTAGTTCCGCTCCCTTCTGCGCTATTCCGGACAGTTTTCCAACTACAACTTCCGCGAATACGCTCGTCGGAAGACAAGGGACTCGTTCCGCGAGCACCAAAACACCACAGAGGAACGCCAGGTACAGGAACTGATCCAGGAGGGACTTAAAAGCTTGCGCTTGATGAAGGTCAGTGGTATCGCATGGCTTTTGGGGGGTGAATCTCGATCGATGGCAGATATGGAGGATCCATTTTCAACCTCGCGCATTGAAAGTCGACGAGTCTCACCTTACAACAATACCCTACAAATCATTGAATCCAACTCCGGGGGATAATTATACTGACCTAATCACAGAGACAAACGATCATCAGCCAGTTCTATCAGTTGGATAAGTTGGTGGTGGAAGGCCAGAAGACTGTAAGTCCTACCTTGGCTTAGGACCTTGCTCCAGGATTCAATCTTACATTGTTATCTTTGAAGGGAAAGGAGACCGGAGACCATGGAGGCATTGTTCGTCAGAAGGACACTGGGTAAGCCATCCAATTGAAGCTCCATGCCCAACTTCTTTTTTGCGTGCACTAACCTGTAGTAGTTGGGATTAATCCTTGAAAGTCGCATGGAAATTTGTAACTATTCCATCTGATTTGTTTTGATAACTTGCCAATGGTGGACTAATTAAACATCTGCTCATTTTCTGTATTTATACATTCAGCGCTGGAGCTACAACTGTAGCTATTTTTTTTTATCAACCAGAAACACACCATTCCACTCCTGAATTACAATATGCATCCCAATGAGTTGAACTGTATTTATTTCTATCAATTGGGGGGGATATTGTCACGAAATAGATGGCTGCTATACCAAGATGTTGCGTTGATGGTCAATAAGTATGTATCACGTGATGTCTCTTTACGGTCTTGTAGCATCGCAACGCGACGGAGTTGCACTGCTCCGATACCATCACCCACTCCACCACATCCCGGCAAAGAATCCTCTCTGGGAGGTCCCCACAAGGACATTGCGAGCTTCCTGATCGGGCACAATTGTCTTTGACTCAGTACAGGGGCATCTGCCATGCCTTCCACGGTACGTTTCGACTTGCCCCCGTGGTGTTCTATCTTATCTGGCCCCGACATGGTCGCCCAAGATACATGTTCATTCCAGATATACTAGGTTTTGAAATTCCTGGATTAGTTGGCTAAACTCTACCACAGTTCAGAGCCTCGCGCTCAGGGCGACACCTCGATGGTGCCCCAAATCGCACACGAACCGGTCAAATCGATCACGATGTCTTTGAAGGATTACCAGTGCGTCGCTGGTCCCGACAGCAGCACACCTTATCTCAAGCGCCCAAGCCAGATGACTCAGAATTCGGCGTTCAAGGTCCAGGCGGAGGACCAACCCTACCAGAGCTCCCCATGCCAAGAGACAGTCAGCTCTTGCCGCCAATCAGTCGCGCACTTCTTCGAGCAGCCCGTGCTGGATGTATCCATATCCGCCAGGGCAGTCGAGCAGCCGATGACGAGGAGAAAAGCGTGGCCGATGCGGAAGACTCAGGATCGGCATCTCATACGGCTGATCGGAGCTTCACAACTCGCAAATGGATGACGCTTCCCAAACACCTTGAGCCTGCGGAGGTAGAGTTTCTAGCAAAGAGGCGCCCTGGTCTTTCATCCCTTTATGGCGCCACTGCTGGCACAGATGGGTCGGCTTCTGGGCCCATGAGGAGGACGAAATTCAAAAAAGTTGATCCCGAAACAGGCAACATCTCCATCTACGAAGCCTGGGTGCCAGAGGGCCATCGAATTGAAGGAGAGATTACTGGCGACTTGCAGACGATTGCCGAGCAAAGCCAAGTGCCTGTGAAGCCTGAGGCGCCTGCACCCGGAACAGTCGTCGAGGGGGTCGGCATTGTCAATGCCGAGGGTGTTGTTGTTGCAGAGGCTGGATCGGCAGCTGTAATGACACCTCCAAAGCGACGTCCGCCTCCACCTAAGCGAAAGGGCAGAGGCATTGGAAAGGGCCGGAAGAAGAAGGTCATGTTTGCGCCTGGCGAAGGGGCTGATGCCGCGACAGTACATGGAGTTGGCCCTGCTACTGGCAGTGGGGATGGTGGCGTCAAGAGAGAAGACCAGCAGGATGCCTCGCACATGTCCATTGACCAGACTGGGCAAGACGAAGACGATGAAGACGGCGACGAGGGCGACGAGAGTGACGATGGTGACGATTCCATGTTAGATGCGAAGACCCCCGATACCCCTCAGCCTCTGTCTGGCACAGAGTTTGTGGATCAGCCTTCATCCGAAACCCCTGCCGAGCAGTCAGTTGATGTCGACATGTCAGATGCCGTTCCTGAAACCCAGCCTCCTGCCCCCGAAAAGGAGAAGCAAAACCAGCCTGAGAAGACCTCAGACGTGGATTTTGCCCCCGTGGCCGCCAATGTTCCCTCAGAGAATGCTGAAGTCACCGATTCAAATGAGAAGCCTGTCATTTCGGAGTATGACAAGACTCCCACTCCCCCCGCCGAAACTGCCGTAACGACAAGTGAACCCACTGAGCTTCCAGCTGCAGTCGGTGAAGCTCAAAGCTCAGATACCAAGGTGCAAGGAGAAGAGGAAGCCATAAAGCCAGCGGCTGACCTTGCACCGAAGGAAGAACTTGGTCTCCCAAGCCAGCAGGAAAACGCGACTGCCCTGTCACCTGTCAGCCTCAAAAAGTCTCTAGAACCCGCAGTAGTACATGAGCATTCAGAACCAGAACAGACTGCAGAATCAACCGATGTCTTGGCAGAGACTCGGGAACCTCAACAGATTTCAAGCGAGTCGATTTCCAATGCTGGCACACAAGAACAGACCTCGATAGCTACCGAGCGCGAACAACCAAATTCCTCTGATGCCCCCGAGCCCAGTCCACACTCAGAAGAAGCAAAAGATGTCGAGATGGGAGATGTCCCGGTACCGGAGCAAAGCGAAGGGCTAGATACCCAGTCTCCCGCGAAACAAGACTTGTCTCAAGCACCACCAACCGTAGAGAATCCACAGCCCGAGCCCACCGCAGAGGAGTCCACTACAGCTGCTCCTGTGGATCCCAGTCTACCAGAAGAACCAACGCCCAGCGCAGACGAAAAGACAGAGGCAGCAACCGAAACAACTGTCCCTGATCAAAGTGTCGCCGCCGAAGCAGAGCTGAAGGAAGATTCTCGGCCTAGCAAACCCAAGGAGACCAATGACAAAGTCGAGGAGCTCCTAGATACGACCCCACAGGCTGATCCGTCTGAGTCTACATGAACCATGTGCGAGGTTTCATTTTCTGCCGCCACCTAATGTACAATGAATGGCATTGGTTTTGTTTATTACCCTCTTGCTGGGGGCTTATGTTTGTGAATAGGCGTATGGTTTCTGGGATCATGGATCGTCGTACATCATATTGTAGGACTACATAGTTACTTAGTTTTATTCTTCAATTGGAACTTTTTTCCCCAACTCACACCGTCAACTCATGCTTCTCTCTCTATTCTTTTGTACAATGGCCGTTTATCTTAGGGGCATTAGAAACGAAGCTACAAACTACAGTGCATAATGCACACAGATAATAAAGTAGCAAATGTTTCCTAATATGACAGGTTCAGCAAAGAGAATTGGTTAAAGAGTTCAAAGCAAAGTTCCACTCTGTACAAATGTTACAAATGTTTCTTGAAAAAGAAAAGCAGCAAAAGATAGCAATGATATCACCAGGTAAGTTGCTGGATATCCTTCGAGACCTGCCATCCATGCGCCAACGCAACTCTTCTGTAGGCTTCCACCGCCTCACCTACAAGATAGTCATTGGAGTTTGTTAGATTCAGCCGCGCGGGTCTTGGCTCGGTGGTGGTGAGAGCCATGCGAACCTGCAACAACACACTCTCAATCGAAGCAGTCGGTAGCCAGCCCGAGTGTGTAAGCAGTTCCATGCACATAGACCCACCGGTAGTAACGTGGCCGCCGCCTCCAGCGGCAAACTCGAGGAAACGAGGGCGGATCACCCGCACAAGAGGTGGATCCATGGGAAAATGTGCGGGGAAGCGGAGCTCCAGGACGACGCTCTTTTGGTTGATGGCTTTAAGGTCCTGGGCTAGTGGGAGGGAGGGATCAAACGTGTGTAGCTCCACGACCCATTGGTAAACTGTTGTGATCAAGCTGGGGTCGACGTACCATCCGAGTTCGTGGAGTGGCACTCGCTTCTGGATTTTGAAAGTAGCCTGGAGATGTTGCTGTAGGACTTGTGTGGCCGAGGTTGTCGCAAACTGGGGTGAAGAAAGTGTAGGCAAAGTACTGTTATGGAGGGTTCCGGGTCGGAAATCTGTCTTCAGGCCAGGTTCTGGGATAGCTCCTTCTTGCATGCTGGGACCTGAGGAACTTTCAGACATTTCATCATCGGATAACAGAAGGCTGAGATCCTCCATAGTCGTCTCAATGCTAACGTTGTCGTTGTCGTCGCCATCTTGTTCACTTTCAACTGAATATCTACGTCTCTTCGGTGACGGCGCAAGGTCTGCAAGTCCTGTTTCTCCGGCAGTCGCAAGAAATTTTCCCCGTTGGCCGCTAAATATCGAAATGGGAATTTTGATCGATTTTCCGTCCGCACCGAAAGCCATATAACGCTGATCTTGTTTGTACGTAAGTCTTTCATCGTTTTTGCAAGGTGATGACTGGGATTTGGAGCTCTTTGGCATGTACACATCTCCAACTGTTCTCTCTGCCATGCCAGGTCCATTGGAATTTTGGAGCATGACGAAAAGATACCTTGGTTGGATCCAATCCAAGTGTTGAACGACGTAGTGTGGTCTGCGGCTCACAAATCTATGGGTAGCATTGACTATCTCATTCAGAGAAACCAGCGCCGAGAGCTTCAGTCGGGTCTTGGACCATCTAGGAAGAATATGTGTTCCTGAGTATCCTAATGAGATATGGAAGTTGCTCGACATGTAAACGCCATTACCACAGGCGCGGCCATGGAGAATTTGCTTGAAATGAAAACCCTCACGTAGAATACTGTGCCAGTTATTCACAGGGCTGCCATGCCAAGCGAATATCGTAGGGTGATTTGGGTTCTCGGCCAAGGAATTGGAATTGACCGCGTCGATAAAGCGCTGCTCTTTGTCGGCAGCACCTTGAACAAGTCTGAATTGAATATAATCGCCCATTCCAACTACCCGATGTTGAGGCTCATCATCTTGCTTGATGAGAGATCGATTCGAAGCAACAACCCAGCGTAAAAGGTCCAACCCAGCGGGGGATATAACGTCTTTCCACGACGAAAGAAGCTTGCCCCTTTCGTGGCTTCCAATGAAGGCCTTCATTTCCTCGATACCAGGGAGCATACCCAATAGACAAGAAATCATCTGCTGTTTTTGCGCGGGTGCCAAATCGTCCAGATTGGTGTCGTAAACAACAAATTTCACCTCCTCGGACAGAGCTGGCAGGTCTTCTGGCTGCAATTGATGGCCTTCACTAATTGGAGTTGAGATGCGAATATGGTTTGAGGTCTCACCAACGCGTTCAATGCGACAGTGCCATTCTTCCGCCTTTGGGGCCGTAATAATGATTACAATCCAATCACCCACTTTGACCGGAGCCGGCTGATTTAACCGAATTTCAAGATTGACTGCATCAAATTGCCCGGTATGATATTGAGTAAGATCTGGGTTTTTTTGAGGGAGCAATTTCTCGGGTACACGCAGCCGAAGACCAGTCGGGAAGTCTTCAAGGAGCCCCGCTGAAGCCCTCGAGTATGCCAGGCTGGTCAACAAGTCAACGACAAAGGGTTGGGATTTGATCTCATATTCAAGACTTGGGCCCAAGCCCAGCGCCATATATTGATATAGACATAACGCGTTAGAGCAGACGTAGGGCTTCAGTGACTCGAAGATATCGCCAGTCTTGCAGTGACAAACCAGGCAGAATTCTGTGCACTTGATAAAATGCCGCAGGGTAAATTGCATAGCAAGAAGAGGCAGAGACAGATTGGAGATATTGCGATCCCGTTCAGTCATGTGGTCAGCCACAAGGATTTCTGGCATCGGAGTGGTCCAACTGTCCAACTGACAGTACTCCTCGGAAGAGATATCAGAGCTGAGATAGGCTCTACCTTGGTTGATCTGGAAGAAAAGCTCTGCCCCTGTCCATGAAAACCCATGTTTCTGCCGAAGATTGATGATCCCAAGTAGTCGCTCTCCGAGAAGTAAATTGAGCGATTTTCTAATGAACAGCGGCTTGAGAAAATGACCACATATTGTTTCGTGTGAAGTTGCACTCTCGTCTTTCGTCTGTTGATCTTGTGGCCCCTGTATGGCTTCCATGGCGTGCTCAAAGGATGGCTTATATGAATCACAGAGGCCAACATGCATTTGAACTGGAATGTCCTTCGGATCACCTGCTGTCTCGACGATTGTTTGGAGATCAAAGTATGTCGGCCGATAACGGATTAGCAAAACGAAATACTCCGAGGGTTGGATACTCCAGGCATTCATAGCTTCCTCAGAAATGCCAAGCTTGGAAATGCGGCAAGACACTGACACAATGATGGTGCCATATTTTGGCCCAAGGTATCCTACTTTGAATCCCGCATTCTTGGCCGCACGCAGGTCACGGCGAATCTTCTCTCGCAATTTAGTCTCACTTTGAGTGGGCATGAATCTTCCATTTTCATCAGCAGACTCCCAGTCAGACTCTATGTCACTGGGAAAGGACTCATCATCGTTGAAGTCATGAGTGCCCGGGTCCTCTGAGTGACTGGATGCCAAATCGGGATCAACAATGGAGTTGGTGATAATGTTCTCAATGTTGCTCAACAAGTCGTGAATGGTTAAACCTGTAAAACAGGGCATTGCGTTTTCCAGGGATGAGGTGACTGTCTTAGGACAGCCCTCGGACGACGAGAAGGCTAGAAATCCATGGTCCTTGGGATAATCGTGAGAGTCTGTGTGTGGTTCAGCAACATATTAGAGCCTTCTCACTATGAGTTAGGGGTGTCTCTTACCTGATACTATGGCCTGGAGATCAAGTGTGAGGCCTGCCGCAGGTGCTGCGAATGTGAAGGAAATTGATCCATCGTAGTCCCCTGTCCTGATATCGGAGAGACAGGAGAATCGGCCAGGAACTGCCGCATCTGCGAGATCTCGCAAGAACTCTTTTCGAGGCATGATAATATTTGATTGTGTTAAAAGCTTGAAAAAAAAAGTAGAAGAGAAGAAACAATGAGACGCGAAAGTCGGGTTCAAATGAAGTGTCCCAAGTGTATTAAATGAAGGGAACACGACAAGAAAGCAAAAAAGAAGGTAGAAAATGAATGAAGAATACCGACCAGGGAGACAATGGAAAAGGAAAAAAGGAAAAGGAAACAACGTGGAAGCCAAAATGCAAAACCATCTACAACATACCTAGGTAAGCAACTAGGCAGCCTCAGGCCCCCAAAGTGGAATCGCCCCACTACACTAAACGTTATCTAATCAACGCCATTCTTGGCGTCGGGTCCACTTTTATATACTCCAGGGCTCCATTGTTGTATACAAAATAGCCCTGGAGTAGGAGCAGAGTGCTTACATTTTGGTTATATACGAAGCATATGTAATCGGACCAGGCAGCGGCATATTGCATGCCAATTATAAAGAGAACAAGTAAATATTTAAATTTAAGGAAGCCCTCGCGAATATTCTCCATTGGTAGCGGGGACTATGTGCACACTGCAAAGCAGAGAGAGTGCCATTTTGAATTCTGATTATAGTAGATTGTAGTGCATAAAAGAGCCCAAGTGCTTCCGTCATATTCCAGGTAAGATAGGTATAGAAAAGGGCTTACTAAACCAGTCTCACAGACCATAGGCTTGCAGACTGATACTTGACTCCGGTGCTCGGACCATTCAACAGGCGCCAATAAATCAATAAATCACTAGGTGATGCATAACTCTTGTCAAGAGAAGAATACTGGTGCAATTCTATGAGCTCGGCATTCAATTTTAAATGCAATGTATATGTTAAGTTCAAGGCTGATGCATGTATATCTATCAAGGGACTGTATCCTATCGTCAGTTAGCCCATTTCAAACCAATTTCTCAAAGGAAGGGTATTATCCACTTCAAGATACCCAGCAACAAATCACTCTACAAAATGCTATCGCAGTCGAGATATGAGGTTGCATTGGTTGATACTCGCTGCGGATCTATACCGCCTAAAAAAGTCACGTGTAATACAAACATGACAAACATCCATCAATCAGCAACATGTTGAGGCTTCATCAATTTCCGACCTTTTCGGTAATTCAATCATGTTACCTCCTCGAAACGCTATCGGTCGAATACCGAGTCATATCCGACCTACCCATCTACCTCGGATCTCCGGTCCTAACGTACATCTCCGACCATTCACCCACCGCACACGCCTACTTCTTCTTTCTCCGGCGCCGGGTCGCCCTCAACTTCCATTTCTATCCCCTCTTGCGCCAACCCGTCCACTTCCACCACTATCAATCCATCTCCGCCAGCACTTTGGTCGCTTGATATCCACTGAGAGCCGCGAGCATTACAAGCGAAGGGTATCGCGAGGTGTCAAGATTGGCCTATCGGTGTCTGCCATCCTTGTCTTATTCTCCGCGATACAACTCGGTATCTACCAAGAAGACATTGAGCACTCATGGCCCACACCACCGGAATGGTCCTGGAAAAGCCGCTGGTGTCTGCGATCCGCACAGGCACTGCAGAATCCGGAGCAGATCGGCAAGCTAATGACGAATTGGCCCATGGTTGCTGGATATCTTCGTGAGCTGCTGGAGCGTTTGGAGAACCTAGAGGGAGAGGGCAAAGGTCTCGTTGAACAAGATGAGGGTGGGTTCCTGGTAGAAGGCGTCGGCCGCACTGGATTCGATGTCTCCGCAAAGAGTGAGCCTTGGCGCCGCGGATATTTTCAGGCCCTGATGGGCGCTGCCAAGGCTGCTGAGAACTTGGACGGCTGGTTGACAGATCGCAAGCAGAAGATATCTGCGCCTGCGGAATATGTTGTTGGACCCTCAAACCCCCGACCAAAGCCCATGCCCGCTGGCCAGAAGAAAGTCCCACAGGAAGAGGACTGTGAGCAGGCGTCTCCGTCTCCAGAGCGATTCTACATGAAGGTCTTGACAACCAGGGGCTTTGACACGGGGCAGAAACTTGATGCTGCCTTGGCCTATGCTGACTGGCTTGATTTCAAAGGCTTGGGCCTTACAGCGGGTGACATGTATAAGTGGGCATTGGACATTGCTGCCAGTGGGCTGGAAGGAGATGCTAGCAAGATCGTGGATTTGGAGAACGGCATCTTGAAAAACAACGGCGGAGACCTACCTTCAGAAAACATCCTCCGAGTCTCCACGGCTCTCGCCGTTCACAACGCCCGTCAAGCCAACCTTCCAACAGCTTTATCCCTCTTCACATCTGTTCTCAAAGCCCGACGCAGCCTCCATCTATCCTCGGACTCTGATATAGCCCCCTATTTTCCGACTCTGCCTAAATCAGACAACGATCCATTCGCCTCTCTCTTCAAATCGCTCAGAAATGTTCTCATTCCCGTGGAGTATCCAGAACCCCTCCCATCAGGCGACGATCCCCCACGCCGCACCACGGCATCCGCCTGCGAAGAAGCAGGATTGATGACCTACATCGGTGAGATTTTGTACGCCTCCTCGTCAAAGGAATCCGGCCTTGCCTGGACGCGTGATGCAGTCGATATGGCTGAGTCCACAATGCTCGACCTCGGCAATTCGGCCGACCGCACGGCTCGAACTCGCTGCGCACAGTGCCTGAAGGTTGGGCTGGAGAATTGGAAAACCATGGTTTCTTCCCTTGTTACCCGTGCTCGGAAAGAGGAACAGGAGAGTAGAGATCAGGCTAAGGGTGCTTGGTTTGGCGGCGAGCGCCGCGCAGAGGCAAAGAGTCTCGATCGTCGACGCTGGGAGGCTGAAGATGCTATTCTAGAGGATCGGATTCGTCGCCTCTTCCCTCTCCTCGAAGGTGAGTCTGGGCTGGACCTTCTCGCTCCAAACAGCTCTTTGTTTGTATAGTTTATTATCTATTTGTATACCTGGACATTTGTTTCCGGGGTTGGGGTTATGTACTTCTAGGCATGTATAGATTACGTTCGCCATGGCTGTCAATTTGTGCTATTAAATTACATTTCCACGGTATACCAAACCCTCTCGAGCACTATGAACCTCTCTTCAGCCCAGCGAGGTACTCAAACCGACCTTGAGAAATATCGACTACTATGATACAAGTGCGCCTTTCTTCCAGGGCTGTTATTGATTGTGGACCAACCAACTCGACTAGTGTACTAGTCCATGTCACAAAGAGACAATGCATTTGCATTCCATCTGTAAGTCTTCTCTTGTCGTCATGGTCCTTTTTATGTGGTTTATGGGCTTGGCTACCTTCAAGGCTTCATGCCGGTTTCTTCATGACAAAGAATATTCTTCAATATTTAAACGACATGATTCTAAGCAATTCGAAGCACTGGCCGAGACGTGCCCTCTTCAAAGAGCCTGGTCGCAGTATCCACTTAGCAGGATGGGTCACTACGATCATTAGCCAACGTAATCTCAGGAAGCATAGGTTTCGAGACAGTAGATATAAGAATGACCTAAAAAGAGACAAAAGAAATAGCAGCAAGAATGAATGTTGACTAGTACATAGCAAGTTTCGCCTCGTTCTGTCAACTGGACCTTCAGCTCCCCAAGCATTTGACTGTGTTACTACCGTAAAACGACAGTGTGGTATATGTACATGGAAAAGCCAGCCCTGACACACACTCAGTAACTTCCTGGCGGGATTCGAATGGGAGTCTCGAGTATATGGGAATATTGCGGGCGACCTAATTTAGGTGGCCTTGTCCTTGTTGTGGTAGTTGACATCGGAGTTCCAGCTGTGGATCATAAGTTAGTCCTGGGTTTTCAGGGGGCGGGATGGTGGTGATAGAATGGCATGCGATCCATTCGAAAGAAGATCATCCATTTAAGCTTGCAGCAACTGCTGTTCTGCAAATAATGCATAGTCGAGGAAGTCGGAACTCACAAGATGGTCTAGTCCAGACACAGATTAGCTTGAGTCTTCGGTACATAGCATAATTGGATTCACATACCTTATCGCCGTCTCCCCAGGGGAAGTTCTTCACACGAATGTTCTGGTAAGGGTACTCGGTGCGCTCCTCGAGGGGGCCATGTGCTCCCAGTGCTCCCAGTGCTCGGACCAGAGGTTGTAGGCGTTGAGACCGCCACCAATAAGGCAGGGAATCACGGCACTGTCAAGTGATTAGATTTTTCTCCGTTGGCGAGGATATCAAATCAAGTGCTGATATTGATCAGAAACATACAAGATGGAAAGTTTGCGCCAGAGGTCTGTACAATCATTGGGTTAGTAACGTGTATTGTCTACGGCCTATGGCCATGCATCACAATCAATTGAGTTCAGTTATGGTGGTACGTACCACTGGTAGAGGCAGCATGGTGCTTGACGGCAGCTCTCTCGCGGTTGAACTCGTTGTCGACGATCCACGAAGGCTTGGCTTCGGCGCTGTTGAAACGGCGCTGGATGGTGGAGCGAACCGGAGCGGAACGCATTTGCTGCGAAGCACGCTGGGACAGGCGACCAAGATTGCGCTGAGAGAACATGGTGGGTGGTGCTAAGGAGTTCTTTTGGTGGTGGAGGTCAAAAGTGGTGCGATGAGGTCCAAAGCCGCCTTTAGCGTATCCCCGTGATCTCCCGGATTATGTAACCTGATGTCATGAAGCCTGATATATCAGGCAAAAGGCAGTGTATGTCACGTGATCACTTCGCAATATGTATGGACGTCGGGATGCACGCTACTCCCGCAACCCCGTGACCTAGATTTTAAACAACAAGAGGAGGTTTTGGTCATTGCTTGACTCGAATTTTCTATTTGTATCTCGACGTCTTTTTATCATTTACATCGCAGGAAATGCTGCCTTGTCCCTTAATACACTAGCGTCCAACATGGGATTCCGCATCACCACATGGAACGGTAAGTTCTATCTGAATTGTTGGGGCAATTGAAGTTATGAGTATATATACCAACCGTGCATCACTATTTAGTCAATGGTATACGGTATGAGAGAAACCTGCTAGTTGAACTTGTTCAACACTAATATGCCAATAAGAAATCCGTTCTCCTATGAGCCATGGAGAGGAACGCGCACATTCGAGGTAAGTATGTATCCTTACGTTCTATTTCCAAGTATATCGAGCTTATTTGATCCAAAGTCCATGTTCGATATCCTCGAGGCGGATATTGTAATTCTCCAAGAGACCAAGATTCAGCGCAAAGACCTTCGCGATGACATGGTCTTGGTTCCAGGATGGGACTGTTATTTTAGTCTCCCTCGAGTCAAAAAAGGCAAGCTACTATTCCGGCGCTACGTATACAAAAAATTAACAGCTTTTAGGATACTCGGGCGTTGTGATTTACACGCGCAATGCCACATGTTCTCCAATAAGGGCAGAAGAGGGCATTACTGGAGTGCTCTGTCCACCAAAATCCTCAACATCTTTCCGCAATCTTCCAGAAGAGCAGCAGGTTGGTGGGTATCCAACATCTGATCAGCTTTCCAGGCCCGCTATGAATCCTGAAGGGCCTGACTCTGAAGAAGAGCAGGAGGATGTGAGCTCGATGCCCGATACCACAATAGATACATCAACCCTCGACTCCGAAGGGCGGTGCGTCATTCTGGAGTTTCCTGCATTCGTCCTCATTGGTGTCTATTGCCCTGCATATCGGGATGAGAGCCGGGACACCTTTCGCATGGACTTTCTCAATGTCCTAGATTCACGAATCCGTAACCTGACTGCGATGGGGAAGAATGTGGTCGTGGCTGGAGACATCAATATTTCGAAGCAGGGCATCGATGCCGCCCATGGAATTGAGGCCATACGAAAGGGCACGATGACAGAGGACGAATTTATATCTGCTCCTTCTCGACGTCTATTCAATCACTCGATATCGGATGGCGTGGTTATTGGTGAACGTGACGAAGGCAGGGAACATCCTGTCCTCTTCGATGTCTGCAGGTCATTTCATCCAGATCGTACAGGCATGTATACATGCTGGGATCAGAAGCTCAATGCTCGACCAGGGAATTACGGCTCAAGGATTGACTATGTGTTGTGCAGCTTGGGTATGCAGAACTGGTTCTCCGACTCAAACATTCAAGAGGGATTGATGGTAAGGATTTCTCTCCTTTGTGTTGAATCATTGATTGACTGCTTTATAGGGATCTGACCATTGTCCTGTATATGCTATCATCAAGGAGTCTGTGAATCAGCCCGAAGGTGAAGTAAACATTCGGGATATTCTCAACCCACCGGGAATGTTTAAGTGTGGCAAGCGTCAACGGGATTACTCAAACGAGTGCGCATTATCCGCTTCGGGGCGTTTACTCCCCGAATTCGACGTTGGTAAGCGCAGAAGTATCAAGGACATGTTCGCTCGCAAACCAGCCAGCATTCCATCGGGGTCGGTAGAGCTAGCCGCTACACTGGCTAACATGCCCGCGACCGAAGTCACGGAATCTACAGCCACGCACACAACCTTCGGATCCACTGACTCGGCTAGAAATGGTTCTACACGTATCGCTGAGAGAAACCAAACCCCTCAGATTGTTTCCCGCAAACGCTCCCAGCCTCTACCCACCACATTCGCGAAACGCCCAAAATCCGCCGCAGCGACGTCTCCCAGGGCCTCTACGGCAGGGCAAAAGTCATTAGCAGGCTTCTTCAAGCCAAAATCTGTCGATATATATGAAGCTACCCGGTCACCTATGGCTTCACCGGGGCCCTCGACACCATCACTTAGCCGCAAACCATCTGAAACCCTACAAGAGCAGGGGAAAGCTCTAGGAATCCATCCACAACCTGCGGGGTCCCAAGAAGACATCATAAGGATGGAAGCTGACACTTCTAATGAATGGCCGACGGTCAGCAAGTTTGTTGACGACACAATAATCGACCCGATTGTCAGCAAGGAGGATTGGTCAAAACTTTTTACCAAGAAGCCTGTTCCGCCATGTGATGGACACCAAGAGCCGTGTATCAGCTTGACGACAAAGAAACCCGGAATGAATCGCGGCCGCTCCTTTTGGATTTGTCCCCGGCCATTGGGACCCAGTGGAGAGAAGGAAAAGGGTACGCAATGGCGGTGTCCCACTTTTATCTGGGCCAGTGATTGGAACTCACCCGTTGCGACGCAAGAGCAATAAAATACATGTCATAGGAAGGGGATCTCCCTCGGTAGTCAACAGACTTGCCGAATAATACAGCCTAGTATCAATTTTCAATTATTATGTCTGGTTTCTATACGCTCATTGTAGATTTAATGGGATTGATTGGATTCCGAGCGTGTCGACCAATCTAAATATGAGACGTTCGAAGACTAGCTAGGTAGATGTACATGCATGGCTATTAGATAGTGCCTGCAAGGCTCTGAAGTCTTCTTGTCCTAACCAAGCACGCCTAGCAACGAGTAACTAAGACTTAAAGAGGATTTCATGTACCCAAATCGCAGTATGCAGCGGGTAAGTAATAGCCCAAATTCCACTGAAGACTTCTAGGTCATTCCAAGATTTGCTGCCTTAGGTTTGAAGCACTCGACGTTCGCTACGTCAATTCTCTCTGTCCCTTTCTCATTCTCTTTTATTTTTTTATTTATTTTATTTATTTATTTTATTTTTTTTTGGCCCCCAGTTTCTTTGTCTTTATTGTTCCCTTGTTTCTCGTGGCTTTGTTTCTTTTGTTTGTTGTTTACATCTTGATTGGGTGGTTTATTTTCTTGATTGAATCTCTTTGTTCGAATCTCTTTGTTTGAATTCTTTGTTTGGTTTCTTTGTCTGGTGTTATTATATTAGCCAGACGCTCGTTTGCGCTCGTTTGCGCTCGTTTGCACTTTGTTTACCTTCCCTCCAGTTGCTATAGGGATGTTCAAGTAAAGATACATATTGGGTAGGTATGTTGTCAACCCTTATGGATGAAATTGTTTCTTAGGTTTCCTCCCATGCTAATTATATTTCTTTGTTGTTACTTCGTAAACCGAGACTCTCTATGCAATCAGAATCAGACTCATAGTTCGAAGCTATTTTGTGTAAAGTTTGATATGTTTTAAGGTTTCAAGGGTACCTGTGGGTGGGCGCTAACCCCCGGATCTGCAGTGCCACGTGGTGAAGATCCACTTACCCGACCTACACACAAATATCCATCATAGCACACAGATATAGCACATATCGAAATGATATTTTAATGGGCTATCATGGCATATTAATTACAGGAATTATTGTGTAGAGACATTCCATTTTTATCAAATAATGTATAGTAACCGCTCTGAATGGTATATACAGTAGTGTATGACCTGGTTGTCGAAATGGTACTTGACGCTAAAGTGACTTTTCCCAGATAGTCTTACCCCTCCATAATTGACTTTCTTTGTTCTAATGGTACTATTCCTAACAAAGAAGTCACCAACGAGAATGAGACCATGTGATTGGCGTTGCCGCGCAAACAAAGAACACACACGTTGGTCGCCTGGCACCGTGATTGGCGTTGCCGCGCAAACAAAGAAATCACCCATCTCGTCACCAACCTTCACCTACCTCAGCTCCTGTATTTATTTACCCCCCACCTCATTTCTTTTCTTCTTTCTTCCCTCTCCTCTCTCCACCCTGTTCTCTTTTCCTTCCACTACCCACCTGAATTTTCTTTCTTACTGTGCCCCAGTAACAAGCACTTCATCTTGTGATGGCCAACTCGATCTTAGATCTTGTTGCTGACGACGCTAAAATGACACCTCTTCGCATTATGGAGCTCCTTTGGGCTGATGCTACCACCCATCTTACCGAGACTGGTGGTGAAATGTTTCTGCCTCGCAATGTTGTTGATAACGTTCTTGGCAATGCTAATCTTACCACAATGGCTCATCGTCTGGCGTAAGTCTTGACCCCATGCCTGCCTGGGTTATGTTATTAACAAGATAAAACAGGTGTTTGCTCAACAAGAAGGTCGACATCATTGTTGATGAATCCATCAATGCTTATCGGCTTATCCCGAAAGAAATCAAAGCTGATAGCGATGAAGACTTGTGGCCCGAGGAGCACAACATAGCTGTCAAAGATCACCTTGTGTTCAGCCGATCCATTGCCAACGCGCCGGAATCCAAGCTTCCCGTTCGCCCTGGCAAGGTTCCTCGCCCTCCAAACTGTTTCATTCTTTACCGCCAGGCAAACCACCACCTGGTCAAGAACGCAAACCCCGGTGTTTCCAACAACGAGATTTGTGAGTTATCTCCAATTGTTCTTTGCTTGTTTTGTTTCTAGCTAATCACTGGATCAGCTCGTATCCTCGGCGCCCGCTGGAACAATGAGAGCCCCGAAGTTCGGATGCAGTTCACCCGTCTGGCAGAGGACCTGAAGCGCGAACACGCTATTAAGCACCCTGACTATCAATATTCCCCTCGCCGCCCTGCTGATCGTAAACGCCGCACTCCTCGTGTCCGTACCAACAACGGTAGTACCTACTACGATTTCGATGCCCCCTATGACGGCTCTTTGATCGAAGTCGATGATATTTTCATGTCCGACCTGAACGATGAAGATCTCCTCTTCGGTCCCAATGGTGTCCAGCCAATTTCTACTTCTTTCAGCCACAGCGAGCGCATTCAAATTAGCGATGAACTAGCTTCAGGCAACAGCATTGCTTCCATGCGTTACAACCCCATGCCATTCGAGTGTGACACTTCTGACATCCCTACCGTGTTTTAATATGGCTCCTTCTCGATCTTGACTTGGCCCAGCTTCAACAATTATTCGCCTGTTTCGCCTCGCTGGCCAGTCACCAATGAGCATACACGGTTCATTTCAACCAGATTATTCGACCTCATGCATTTGGCTTTCACCGAAAACTCAAAAAAACAAAAAAAAATTGAAAACAAAAACTTCAAAAAAAAAAAAGCTTTTTCCCATGTTGCACAATTCACCTGTATTATTAGCTGCTTTTCATTCGTTTGTTTCGGTTCATGACAAGTTCTCAGGAACTGAGCTGACTGGCTTTCTTTCCCCCGGGGTTTTCCAGACGCTCTTTTCCTGCAACGTGAGCCCCTTTTCCAATGTACTTTAACTTGCAATCCAATTAGTTGTTTTGCCCAAACTGCCTTCTCCATTGTAGCATATAGAATCGTAAATAGATAACTGGAAGGTCGCATCCTTTTGCATCATTGGTATTCAGCAAAATCCTTCGACAACCAGAACAAAAAACAGTTCCTCCAAATCTCATATTTTCCGGATTCCAAACCAGACGTTCCCAATGCTTCACTCTGAGCCTATTCGAGTCTACATTTCACTCTAATCCCGAAGCTCCAACCACCCAGCGACGCCCAGACACTCGATTCTTTGTCTGCGTGCATGAGATGTCGTCTCGATACTCTTTGGTGACACCCGCCGCTAGTCGGCTCTACCCGCGGATCGACATGCACTGCATCCATGGTTCCACCACTCGAGTGTGGATCCAAAGCTTGGCATGCAGCCTCGAGCAGGGGACATGGCGCATAGGTACAAGCCGGGCACCCTGCGACCATGCGACCGTGCGACCGTGCGACCATGCGACCGTGCCGTGAGACCTTGAGTTCCACAGGGCTGCCTACTGGAGCCGGAACATAGATACAGATACAGGGGAGCGGGTCTATAGACTACAATGATCCAGGGAACTAGGTAAGTTGCTTGCATTCGCTATGGGAAATCAAAACAAGAAACTAACTACGGGGGTTGGGAAGAATAGCCCAGGCCGAAGGACGCAAAGTGCGACACGGACGAAACGAAACTCCTTGAAATTGAGATGCGGAATATACACAGACAGCCAAGAGCGAAACACACATGCGACGATTTCCCTAATCCTCCTGGTAAGAAATCTTGCGCATTTCGCCCAGACGCTGGCGGGCGCGAGCGAGACCGTTCTCGAGTTGGAGGATTTCGACCTGTTGGGACGGTACATTAGGATGTGATGGATGGGATACAAGGGGGAAGGGGACGTCACATACCTGCTGCTCCATCTCGCGGACCTTGAACTCGTGCGAGCTCAGCTTTCCATAATCCTCGCCCTCATCGCCGTCGCGGTTCTTCTCCTTGATAATGTCCTGGACCTGCCGCACGAGGGCACGACAAGCGGCACCGACAGCTTTGCTGGCGGTTTCTAGGCGATCCTGGTTCTTGCTCATGAATGTTGCCTTTACCCGACTGGCTGCGACAAGCTGGGCTGTGCTGGCTGCAACATCGTTGGAGGCGACAATGAGTTGCTCCGGGGAGTTGCGGCCCGAGATTACACCATCAGCAGTCTCGATCAATGTGTTGGTTGAAGAAGCCACTGCTTTGGCGGCAGAGATCAAACCCTCCGTCCAGCGGTTGTTCTTCTTGTAGAAGGCAGTGCGAGACGAGCTTCCACGGCCTTCACGAACAATCTCCTGCTGTGTCTCTGTCGCAGCCTTGATCAGCTCCGAAATTGCGTTAGTGACGGCAATGGCGGCGGCAAGGATAACATCATTGATGCGCAGCTCGTAGGTGGAGTATCCGTCACGGGGCTTGTTCTTGAGCTTGGCCAGACGCTGGGCAGCTGCGTCAATGGCATCAGCAGCCTTGAGCAATTCCTGGTCGACAAGATCACCTAGATCACCACTGGTGCTGATCTTGGTATTCTTCGGAGCGAACGAATCAACCAGCTTCGACAACGCTTGCAGATCACGCTGGACTTCGAGGTTGTTGTTTATGACGACATCAGTCTTCTGCAATGGTTCCAGACCTTCGAGACGGAACGACTGTAAGCCACGGAAGAACCGCACAGTCGCCTGAGCAGACTTGCGCGCAGCATTAATAAGGTGGTCGGAGCTCTTGTCATCGGTAGCGAAGCGGATGAGACCCTTGGTATTGCTCAGCACATCCGAGACGGACCCAGAGAAGATGGACACTGTCCGGATGATCTCAGCATGGGGACTGTTGGGGCCATCGGCCACAAAGTTGTTGAAAGCAGTGGAGAATTCGGTTGCAGAAGCCGACGCCTTTTCAATCTGCGAAAGAACATATGGAGGAGAGGCGTTTTGGTTACCGGCCTGCATGGACGAATCCAGTTCATACAGAGCATCGTCGACACGTTGCACACCAGTCTGCAGCACGGAGTCGATAATATCGTTGATTTTTGCGACTGTACCGTGGAGCACAGTGTCAATCTGGCTGTCTAGCGCATGGTCGACATCGCCTTGGTTCTACAGTGGAACATGGTCAGTATGCAAACATCGAATGTTGCCAATATCACTGCTTACCAGTCTCAGCTCCTCCAGTTCCTCAAGAGCCTGGTCCATACCAGCCTTATACACCTCAATCTCCTCGTCCTTCTCGCGAAGAGCCAGGTCAAGGTCTTCCTGGCGGTCATTGTTGCGACTGGAATGTTCGTCCAATGCGCGCGTTTTAACCTACAAGGTCAGCATGAATCACAAACTTAAGCAAGATGGACAACATGAACAGTTACTCACTCGAAGGGACTCTTCCAGGTCGGCCATCTCGCGGTTATACTTGGACAGTAGGGACGAGATCTCAGTGCCCTTTGAGCGCTCTGCGTTTTCAGCACGCTCAAGAGCCATGCGAAGCTCCCGCTTGACCTTCTCCAAGTCGTCTTTGTTGGTTCCCGTCAAACGGTCACGGTCATGCAAAGCACGGTCCCGTTCCCGGATCATGTCAGCCAGTTCCAAGTTCTTGGTCTTCAGCTCGCGCTCCAGCTTCTCTCGTCGGTCGATTGCCTCTTGCGCGGAGGCTGCCTTCAGCTTGAGGCTCTTTGTGGTCTGAAGAAGATCGAGGTGCTCTTGTCGAAGTTGTGAGTACAACTTGGCCAATGCCTCGTATTTGGATCGCCAGGTGTTCACCTGCTCCTGCAGGGATCGAATCTGGTCGTCCTTCGAGGCATTCTGCAAGTTGAGGTTCGAGTTCAGGTGGTTCATCTGCTCCTCAACCTCTTTGACACGGCGGTCATATTGCTGCAGCATCAATTGGTCACGCTCATACTGTGCGCGGGCGTTGAGGTTCTCCTGCTCCAGCTCTGCCAGCCGGCCTTGTGTGTGTGTCTGGTACTGGTCGCGGAGAAGCTGTTCCTGTGCCAGTCTCTGTTGTTCCGCCTGCAAACGCTGCTGCTCCTCGAAATCGTTCTGGGCTTGCTGTTGGGCTTGGAGTTGCTGGCGTTGTTGATCCTCCCACTGCTGCTGCAAGCGTTGCTGCTCCGCCTCGTACTCTTCTTGTTGGCGTTTGGTTTCGTTTGTCCAGAAATCATTAATCGGCTCTGGTTCAGCAGCGACCTTCGGTGGCGGCGAGGGCTGGGCTTCCACTTCTCTCGCCGGTCGTCTGGGAAGAGCTGGGCGATCGTCATCTTCGGCAAGCAAACTTGGCGGATCCTGTGGCAACTTCGGGATGGTGATAAGGCCTGTTAGGTAGCGCAGGTTGGAGCACTCATAGTAGAACCGAACAAGGCGGTGGTGCTGGGCATCATATCGGCCCCGGAGTGGCTCGAGGGCTTCGTCCTCTCCGGTGGCTACAGAAACATCAGTCAGCGGCTGTTGAGGCAAACCCAAGGACTAAGTGCAACATACTTGTGTGCATGGCTCGCAGCATGCTGGTGATGAACTTGTAGATGCCATAACTCTCCTGCACAAGTGGCACCAATGCCGAGATCCGACATTCATTGTTCGTGCCGGACATGAAGTTCGAGAAGATGAGCTTTTGGAAGGAATCGATTTGATCTTGCAGAGCCATCAGATCGGTGATGGTCTCGTAGCTATGTGACTGTCAGCACCTCTCTCCTTCTCTCCTTTAGTCGCGAAAACCAGGTATGTACCCACCCTTCGTTCGGATCGTTGATCGACTTCAAACTAATGTACTCCTCATATTCAAACAAGCCTGCGACTGTCAGACACCCGCCCTTTACAGAACTGGTCAACCGTGAGCGACATACCGTTGAATTCGGGGTGGCTGCGGTGGAAGTTCAATTTCGCCTCGAGGAAGAAGACGTACTCCCGAATGAGCGGGGCATATCCTATACAGAACTGTCATTATTCCGTCTCTCACATGTGTTGCCACCTCTCGAGCAGAGAGCAATTGCGCAGTCGTCCTGCGTGGAATCCATACCTCGAATGCCGTCACCTCCGACTCCTCGCATCAAGCTATCAATCCAGTTGGAATGTTGCTGCGCCTCGCGGACAACCATGGGGTGGCCCTCTTGAAGGACCTTGTGTATCGTGATCAGGGCCTTGAACGTCTGGACCTCGTCGGCGAGGACGGGCTGCCTGTAAAGAACGAAGCCGTGTTAGCCGTCTCGAAAACAACAGCCTTTTTCCATGCCTTCCCGGTATCCCAAAACGTACACTTTCATGCCAGCCCAGAAAGCCGCCGATGACTTGTGGTCCCACGTATAGACGATGCAACTCCGCACATGTTTCCCTACAGACGCGGGGGATGGTCAGCTCGATTCGGACGGGGCAAAGCCGAGATGGCATCAACGGATTCGCTGGGGTTGCAATGAAATATGATTGAAACGTACGTTTAGGAGCGGTTTCCTCTGCCAAAATGTTAGCCCATCATGTCCGCGTCGGTCTCATCCCCGACTAACGACTTACCAATACTGGTGGCCTTGCGGATATTGATGGCCAAATCGGCCTCGGTCCTGCGCAATCCCTTATCAGACAAGCACTCTCAGAATTCGAAGTCCGTCTTTGCTTACCGACTCATCGTGGCGG